GTACGGTAGGTTCGCGTCGTGTCGCACGGGGGCGACCCCGCTGCCGGCGTTCAACGTTGAACGTTGCCGGCGACCCAGAACGGGTCGATGTCGACAGATCTTCAGGAGGGGAAAAAACACACCGACACAATTGATCCTCGATTCCCCAGAAAGTATGGGAAAATATGGGAAGTTGGGGGGGAAGACAGAAACCCAGAAAATACAGGAGGTTATGGGGGATATGCTTGTTTTTGTATATTTATTTGTATGTCCTGGGGCCCCTTCAGATCTGTGCTTTCGAAAACGGCCGATCGCTCACGGTTTGAAAGGCCCCCGCGGTGCCAGGAGCCGGCGCCCGGGCCGTCGCGACGCGAGCCTGCCGTGGGCAGTGCCCGGGTGTGGTCCAGGAGGCCAGCCGTCAGTTGGATTGGATTCAGGAGGGAAAAAACGCGCAGACAAGTAATCGTCGACTCCCAGGGAAATATGCAAAAATATGGGAAGTGGGGGGGAAGACAAAAAAAAACAAAACATTAGAAAATATGGGGGATCTTTTTATTTGTGTGTATCTATTTGTGTGTCCTGGGGCCCCTTCATGGATGTCCAAGCGGGAAGACTGATGTTCAGGCTGGTGGGCACGCAGAAGGCGCGTGGGGATCGGGCGCGGCGCGGAGGGGCCGGGGGTGCTCTGCGGCCCAGGCTGCAGCCCTTCGAGGAGTACCAGCCGCAGTTTGGCGGTGCCAGGGGTGCCGGGGAGGTTGCCGTGCCTCACGCCGACGGCGCAGGGGAGACGAACGTGTCCAACGTCAAGATCGGCGATATCGAGGCAGGCCAGCCCAACCGTGGGGTAGCCGTGCTCCTTGCCCCTCTTCGGGCTTTGGAACCCGTCGTCGTTCCTCGGGCCGGACGAAAGGGTAGATAGGGAAAGGGGGGGCTACGAAATCTGCTGCTTGCAGCTGCTTCCCGTCCCGCCGCCGGGCCCACTCGTTGATACATGGGCGCCTCCTGGCGCCAACATGCGCAAGGAAGACCAGCTACGCGAGCTGATTCTCTGCCCTGCCCTTTCCTATCCTACCCTTGCCGTCCCCCCCCCCGAGATACGAAGGGTTTCCCAAGTGGGGCAGGGGGCACAACTCGCCCAGTTTGGGCTGGTCGGCGAGGACGCCGGTGAGCCGCCCATGGGCGCCTCGCTGAGCAGCGCCGCGGGCGAGAACACCACCGCGGAGCTCTCCTTCCTGGAGGGCGGCAGGCGCTCTCGGCAGGACAGCGGCCCCCCCCCCCCTGCTGTCCGCGCGCCCCTCCTCTCCACGGCAGCGCCGCGCCGCGCTGACGCGGCGGCGGCTCCGCACGGGGGCTCGAGACAGTCGAGTAAGAAAAGTTTGCATGAACATACAGTCGGTGCGTTGACCTAAGGAACCCTAAATAAGGAACGAGGCCCCTTTTTTCCACAAGTTAAACCTCGATCTACGATCGAAAACATAAGGAAAACCTGAGGCAAGCTGTGAAATACTTACGGAACGCGGAGCCCCTCCCCAACCAAAAGGGTTCCTTCTTCAGGGTCCCGACTGTAATCTTTCGGAGGTCCCCGCGGATTCTTGGATCGGCGCTGGACCCCCACGACGGCGCCTCTGGCGCCGCCCCCGGTGCGCTCCGCGCGCCAGGAGAAGGGGGCCCCCGGCGCGGCGCCGATGCAGGAGGTCCTCGCGGACCCCCGAGAATCGACTCCCCACGCGGCGCTTGCACCTGGACGCTCCCACACGTCCTCGGATGGGTCGGGGGTGGACAGAACCCCCGCCAGTGACACGTCGATTAGTGAATTGTCCGTTGTCGGTTGGGCGCCTCGTGGGCGCCTCGTGCTGGGCGGGCCGGCCGAGGCTCCGCGTGGTGCGCGCGCGTGGGCGGGCCTCGGTGGGCGCCCTCGCGGGCGCCTCGTGGGCGCCAAGTGGTGCGCCCGCCGAGGTTTTTCGCCTGCGGCCCGCGCGTTGGGCGCCGCGTGCCCGCACGGCCTGCACCACACAGCTGCAGTGCCGGTTTTAATGCATGCTCCGCGTGCGGATCATGTGTTAAAATTGCAGGGTTCAGTGCCAAAAGCAACGAGGAGTTCGCGCATGAATTGATTCGTGAATTGATCATGTGTTAGAAACCCCATTGTTTTGTAAAGATCCTATGTATTAGAAACTGCCCTGTAGCCTGCACCACGTGGCAGGCTCCTGGCGCCCCACCTGGCCAGGCGCACGGACCCCAAGGGGTGGCCCCTTGGTGGGAACCCACACTGCGTGGTGTGCACCGCACGGTCTGCACCACAGGGCCTCAGCTGCACCGAGTGAGTCGCAGAGCTTGCACAGCACAGCCTGCACAGCACGGCTCTCACCGCAGAGCTTACACCCGTACGGCAGAGGTTAAACCACATAGTTTGTACCACGCAGTTTGGCCCACGTAGCTTACACCACGAAGCCTACACCACACAGCTTGCACCACATGTATTGCACCACACAGCTTGCACTACATGGCTTGCGCCACCGCGCTTAAACATCCACAGAGCAATACCTTGCTCTTTGGGGTCCACGCTGGCAAACACGTCTTAGGTACACGCGTTTTCTAGCCAAAAGCCGCCAGATGCCCAGAATCGGCTGGTGCCGAACGATCTTCGCTATCGGAAGTCCACGATCTTTCAAGGCTGACCGATCCGCACGGTGTCAGAGATCAGCGTCGGCGTCGTCGCGGCGCGAACCCGCCGTGCTTTGGTCGGCGGCTTGAGCCAGAGACTTGCAGCTATACACCACTGGCCCTGGCCAAACGCTTCATGATCAAGGCCTCCCCAATAGGGCCAGAGTCGATGCGGTTGGAGGACCGCGCTCCGTCGCCGATGCATTGGCGATGCGGCGCGATCAGGAATCCGATTATCTCGGTCCCGACGTGGTCGGTGCATCGGCGATGTATCGGCGATGCGGTCTCCGTCGGCTCTGGAACACCTTGGGCATGCTTCAACATGAGGCATTCTGTCGTTCGGTTACAAGGCAAGATCAGGTGGCCGGCACTAGTGGTTGCTTCGCCGTGCAGCCCAGCTGCCTTCGTGCAGCTCTCGGCTCTGGGGGGGACGAGGGGCCGCGGTCGTGCCTGGTCCGTTAGCTGGCCTTTCGAGCTGCAGTGCGACCCCGCAGCGCGCAGCGGGCATACCAGCATAGCCTCCTCCTCCTCCTCCTCCTCCTCCTCCTCCTCCTACTCCTCATTATTTATGCCCTATCCATGGTGATATGCCGCCAGCAGCTATGTCCCTGACCAGCCTTGCCAGTCTAGTCAGTGTTAGCCCCATTTACTCGCGGGTCGGATCTAAAGGACCTGTGCGGGTCCAGTCGTCCCATGTGGGGCCCCTTTTCCCCCCTCCGTAGCCCTTGTGGCTTGCAGGGCTCTCTCGTGTGTGAGCCAGCAACAACAATGGAGCTGGAACTCAGCGGGATGGAACACGTGGTGGAATGGTCCTTGGTGGGGAGGCTCGTGGACTGAAGCTGATTCCAGGGAGGAATGGTGGGACAAGTCAAAGGAGCCGATAAACAGGGACTACAGTGCACCACCACAATTTTTGGGTTTGGAGAGTTTATATATGTACAAGACCGACTTGACAGCTTGGGCTAACAGAACAGCTTACAACTCACATCGACGAGTTAACATAATGCTGGAAACATACCCGATCGAATTGCAGGCTCGCTTCAAACCAGTTCCAGCAGATTTGGAGAAAGACGACGGTTTGAATATTCTCCTGGATCATTTAGGAATATTAAATGGCGAACGACCGGGAGACCCACAGAGAGATGCGACGAACAAGGCGTTGTTCGATTATTTTACTCATCGGAATGAGAGCATTACAGATTTTGTCTTGAGACGAGACGCGCAGATAGCAGAGGCAGAGAGATATGGTTTATCCCTTCCGGACTCAGTTGTGTCGAAATATTACGAAGAGGGCGTTCAGCTCTCAGCTCAGAACAGGATCAATCTTCGTACGTTGGCCAACGGATCGGAAGACAGCCGATCCATCCGACAAGCGCTGCTCAAACTAGACATCAACGAAAAGGCAGTGCTCCCAACTCAGGCGGCATCGACTTCTAAGAATTCCTTAGCCAGTGACGAGTGCGAAACGTGCGAGCCGCCAGGATCAGGACAAGAGGACGAATGGATCACCTTTGTCGAATATAATGATGTGGATTTCCCCGAGGACGAAGTTGAACAAGTGTTCGCAGCATTCGGCGGCCAAAATATGACAGAGTCCGAGATCTTATATGTATTCGCAGCCAGAGTGGGAGACACACTAGGAGCGGAGAAGAAGAGAACGTGGCAGGAATCCCGCAAATCCAAACAAGCTAGGAAAGTGGGCAGAGATTTCTTCGATCGAAAGCGCAGAGAGGACAGCCGACCCCCGAAGGCAGGTTATCGTAGAGTATATATATATATATATATATATATTAAAGAGTTGAAACGTAGATCCAGCTGTGCAAACGGTTGGCAAAAAAGGACACTGGAAGGATGAATGTCGGAATCCACACAAGCCTCGGCCCGAGAAAAGAGACGATGATCAGAAATATGGCAGAGGCAAAAATGGCGGCAAACCGTCCAGCTACCATTTCGACCTGTCCGGCGAAGGCGACCGCATTTTTCCCTGGCCCCCAGTGCTCGGGATAGTGACGGAGACCCTCGAGCAGATCAGAGTGCCAGACTTCGTCGGAATATCATTGTCAGATCTGGGGACGAGCGCTTTGGTTGACACTGGAGCTGGGCAAACTCTCATCGGCAAGCCAGATTTGGAACGAATGACCTCGGCATTTCGTAAGCGAGGATACGACATTCCGGTCAAGCGGGAGACTATCGACCAGACAGCGGCAGGGATCGGCGGGAAGGTGCAGCCGATCGGAAGAGCCTTTGCCCCCATCAGTATCTACCTCTGTGGGGTGATACAGTTCTTGGTGCTTCCTACGCCTTGTCCGCCCCTGCGGCCGGCCAGATGGCTGGATTTCATCAGGGCCCAGGTCTGCATGCCCGAGAATGTCCTGCGGATCAGCGGCGAGGGCGCGGAGATCCCCATGCACCGGCATCCGACGGGACATCGTTCAGTCGATCTCACCCAGCTTCCCCCAGAGAAGTTCAAGATCGACCAGTCAGTGGCCGACCAGCTGCTGGGCCCCATCTTCTGGGGCCGACAGCGCAATTCGGACCAGGATCGGAGAGGGGGCAGGGCAATGACTGACACAGCCTCTAGTAGGAATAGGAGGAGCTGGAGGCCGAGAGAGACGACCACTCCTTCGTGAGCAACGCCCTCCTGGCGTCCACCTCGCCCCCACTTTCCCTTTTTCCTCGATCCTCTTTCCGGCGCCCCCGTCGAGCCTCCTCCCTCGACCCTTCTCATCCTCCTCCTCTTGTCCCTCTCGACCCTCCTCCTCCTCAATCCTCCTCTGTCTCCTTTTTGTTCTCCTCCTCTTCCAGTTCCTCCTTCTCTTCGTCCTCGTGAGGGGGAGGAGGCGGAGGAGGAGGACCGAAGACCTACACAGACAAGAGTTCGGCACAAACGTTCGGAGGTCCGTGCGGATGTCTGGCTCGGCGCTGGACCCCCGTTCCCCCGGACCCATGGCCGTCCCTGCGGCGCCGGCCCCAGCGCGCTGCGCGCGCTGAGGCAGTGGTGCTGTGTCGAGGAGGGGCCAGAGCCGACCCAAGAGGCCAGCGCAAGCTTCCGAAAGTCCATTCACAAAAAATGTTGCACCCAGGGTTGCTACACGCCTGGAAGAAATTGGTTTTGCCCACCATGATTCGCCGACGTCGGTGTCGGGCCCCTCCGGCGTCGGTGTCGGTGACTATGGTTCGCAGTCGTTGGTCATTGGTCCTGCCTGCCTTTGCTTTTGCAGGTCGCCGTCGTCAGTCCTGGGTCCCGAGTCGCCGTTGTTGCGGCTTTCCGTCGTCGGATCTTCTTGGCAGCATGCATATATATATATATATATATATATATATATATATATATATATTGAACCACGATCAAGCTGCACCACGCAGAAGAACAACCGCGATTGCAAGAATATTCTGTCTGGGATCCACGCTGGCAATAGGGTTTACGACTTGTCTCGTTTCGCGCTTGGGGATCGAGCATCGAGGCTTGTGGGCGTTTTCTTTGTCTGTCTGGGCTTTTGAAGGTACACGGAGACCCTTTTTGGAAGTCTTGAGATTTCAGGTTGCTGCCCCCCCTACTATTTGTTTGCAATTATTTCGAGGAGGTCGGTACTGTTTCGACGTCAAAAGCGGTACCGCGCTCCGGGTTCCTCGAGCCGTCTTCGCGGCGCTCCTCGCAGATTTCCGGGCGCAGCTGAAGCCAGAAAGGGGCCCCGTTCCCGATTCGGGTTTCCGCGTGGCATCCGCGAGGCGATGAGCACATACAGCCGGCCCGGATGAGCAGGTCGACCCTGCCAGCTCAAGGGTACCCTTGTGTCCTGTGCCTCGCGACGCCTGGCTTCTCACACTCCTGCGGCGATGTGGCCCTCGGAAGGGTCTTGAGTCCTCTCGTGTGTCCTGTCCAATCAAGGCCGACTGTATGTCATTCGCGCCCTCGCGCCCCTGGACCGCGGGGCGCGATCCCAGGGGCACTGCCCGATCCGAGGGACGTGCGCGCCGCGTGGGGCGTCCGCGCAGAGCCGCCCTCCCGGCCGCGGGGCCGCGGTCGAGGCTCCTCCTCCTCCTCCTCCTCCTCCTCCTCCTCCTCCTCCGCCTCCTCCTCCTCCTCCTCCTCCTCCTCCCCCTCCTCCTCCTGCTCCCCACTCCTACCTCCTCCTCCTCCTCCTCCTCCTCCTCCTCCTCCTCCTCCTCCTCCTCCTCCTCCTCCTCCTCCTCCTCCTCCTCCTCCCTATCCTGCTCCTCCTCCTTCTCCTCCCTATCCTGCTCCTCACTCCTGCCTCCTCCTCCTCCTCCTCCCCCTGTCGAGTTGCCCCTCGGGAGCTGGAGGCACGGCCTGCCGAGCGACTCGGCCGAGCGTCGGCGCCCATTGGGCGGGCGCGGCCGCGAGGCCCCCAGGCAGGGGCGCGCTCCTCCCGCGCGCCTCGGGGGCGCGGATCTCGACCGCGCGCCGAGCCCGGCGGGGCGCGGCCTGGGCCAGGCTCAGGTCGGGCCGGTCCCTCTACAGGGAGGAGAGAGGAGGAGGAGGAGGAGGAGGGAGGAGGAGGAGGAGGAGGAGGGGAAGGGGAGGGGGAGGGGGAGGGGGGGGGAGGGGAGGAGGAGAGGAGGAGGAGGAGGAGGAGGAGGAGGAGGAGAAGGAGGAGGAGGAGGAGGAGGAGGGGGAGGGGGAGGAGGAATGTTCAAAAGTAGTCCAGAAATGGGCTGGGGATTATATTGTTTGGCTATTTGCAAACATTTTGGAGTCTTGTTTTACTATTTTTAATTTTTTCCTCCAACATCCCCCTGTAGGGGGACAGGCCCGACTCAAGGCTGGGCGCAGCCCAGGCCAGGCGCGCTCCGCGCGCCAGGGAGGGGGGGTCGAGCGCCGATCCGAGAAATCCGCGCGGACCTCCGAGTTTTTACGTTTCTGTCCGTGTTCGTTCCCCAGATTCGTGCTTTCGGAGTCTGGGGGGGTAGCCAGCCATCTCAGGACGGCCCGCCTCGGTGGATCCCCTCCCAGGCGAACGCCACTGCCGAGGACAAGCCGAAGGAGACGACGGCGCCGAAGACGGAGGTAAGACGGGTATGGAGGGCGGGCGCGAGGAGGAGGAGGAGGAGGAGGAGGAGGAGGCCAACAGACCAGTTTTGTGGATTCGAAAAAATGCCAGCCTCTCGAAGTCAGAAGCCAGCTTCTGTTGCATTCGGGAGCTGGCTTCCCCCCTCCCCCTACGCCGTCCCCCAGCTCAGAGCTCCGCAGCCTTGGCCTCCAGCCGTCACCAGCTTGGCAGACGCGGGCAGCATTGCGCTGAGGGCTCCGGCCCCCCCGCGGCCCCGAAGGGCCCCCCGCTCCCGGCGACACCGCGCGCTCGTCTCGTCTCGTAATCGTCCCCATGTTCGGATACAACTCCTGGAGGTCAAATTCTTATTTAGCCCTGGCCCGAAATCTGGCTTAATCCGGCTTATTCCGCTTGATCGGGCTTAATCCCGCTTGATCTGGCTCAATCCCGCTTCATCCGAGGCCCATTCCAGTGTAACAGCCCATCAGAGGGGCTTCATCCTCCCTGGTCTTTCCGACGACGACCTCCCAGCAGTTGCCTCCTAACTTACAGTCGGGGCCCTGAAGAAGGAACCCTTTTCGTTGGGGAGGGGCTCCGCGTTCCTTAAGTGTTTCACAGCTTGCCTCAGGTTTTCCGATGTTCTCGACAGGACATCGAAGTCTAACTTGTGGAAGAAAGGGACCTCGTTCCTTATTTAGGGTTCCTCAGGTCATCGCCCCGACTGTACATCCAGGAGGGTCTCTCGACATCGGTCGTCCTCCTAACCAGCGCCTGTACGAGGAGGCGTGCGCGGGCGCGATGCCTCGCCTCCTGCGTGCGTGGCCGGGGCGCGCCGGGTCCCTCCCCCGGTCCCACGGGGTCGATCGTGCCAGGGCTGGGAGCCATCGGGTTCGCAGCGCCGGAAGGCCACGAGTGCAGCGAACATCGATTAGGCTCTGCACGCACGACATGTCAGAGCCCCGAATCATCAGGGATAACTCGGGTCAGGGATAACTCGGGTTCGTTTTTCGGGAATCCGAACCCGACTTACCCCGGACCCGAGCTACCCCGGATAGTTCGGGCGTCCAGAGCCCCGAATCATCAGGGATAACTCGGGTCAAGGCTAACTCGGGTTCCTTTTCCGGGAATCCAAACCCGAGTTACCCCGGACCCGAGTTACCCCGGATAACTCGGGCGCCCAATACTGAAAGAATGGGTACAATGCCCAACAGCGGATCTTGTTCGTTTTGAACAGGATTCGCTGTCCGCGCCGCCGCGGCCTGTGTCCATTCGAGACAGGAGGCCGCCAAAGCAACAGCGGCCGCTGTTGGTTTGGGACGACATTTGCTGTTGGGCATTGTGCCCATTCTTTCGGTACCCATTTCGGGTGTCCAAATAGGTGTAAGAGTAACCTTTCGCCGGAGTGACCTTTGGTGCGGGCCCATCGGGCTCCCCCCGATCGCCGAGCGCGATGCGGTTTAAGCGGCCCGCGCCCTCGGGTTTGGCTCCCTCGCGCCCCCAAAAGCTGCGCACCAAAGGTCACTCTTACCCAGGGTCACTCTTACGCCCAGCCGAGAACATGGCGCGAATCAGGAGGGGCCAAGGGGGCGCCTTGCGATGTCCAGCACTCCGGAGATATTGGCCTGGCCAGCCAGCTGCAGACCGAAGTTCTTGAGTCGGGGGTGGACAGACCCCCCAACTGTGACACGTCGATGAGTGAATTGTCCGTTTTCGGTTCTCGAGAGGGCGCCGCGGCCGTTATTTTCCAGGCTTGCGCCCGCCAGGTTTGGGCCTCAGGTCGTTTTCACTAAACCACGTTTTACTAAAGGGAGGTCTGTCCATCCTCGATTGAGACCAACAGGCGATGGCAGCGTTGTGGCAAGGCTCACGGCAACAAAATTACAGTGCCGTTTTCAATACATGCTCCGCGTGCGGATCATATATTAAACATGCAGGGATTTAGTATTGAAAACAACGAGGAGTTCATGCATACATTTATTCAAAAATTGAGCATGTACTAAAAATCCTATGTGTTTAAACATCCTATGTATTAAAAGCTGCCCTGTATGGATCTGGCACGGCACGAGGACAGTTCCTTGCACGTCGTCCTTTCGCTCCACCGGCGCGTCCAAAGAACAGGGGGCCGCCAGCTCCAGCAGTGACTCAGGAGGGAAAAAACACACAGACACAATTAATCGTCGATTCCTCAAAAAATATGGGAAAATATGGGAGGTGGGGGGTAAGACAAAAAACGAAGAAAATATGGAAAAATATGGGGGATCCTGTTATTTGTGTGTGTGTGTGTGTGTGTGTGTTTACTTGTGTGTCCCAGGGCCCCTTCAGTGACTTTGCTCGATGGCGCCCGGGTTGAATCCGACAAGCTCGCCAGCGATGAGGTTGCCAGCGAGGATGGGGCCTTCGCAGACGACGGCTCGGACACGTTCAAGCAGTGGCGAAGCGTCCTGGCTCGCCTATAGCCCTACCAAACAATGTTCTAAGAACTTGGTTTCGCCGGTGCTAAGAGTGAATTCAGCGTGGATTTGCGTCTTCGTTTTTCATTTTTATTTTCATTTTTTCGGATATGCGCACGTCAATCGATCATGTGGCTCGGGCGTTCGTGTGAATGCCGCGTGGCCAGCGAATTTCGAATGTCTTCCGTGCCGTTGATTCTCCCTCATCGTATTCATTTATATTATTCCTCTTGCCTGCATTTTTTTCTCTTCATTTCCCTCCCGCTGTCATCTTCTTTTGTCAGGGCCTGCGGCAGGATCCAAAGGGCGCCGGGGAAGCTGCAAGTGAGCTCGAGGAGAGTCCAGCAGGTCCCGAGAAGGATTGCAAGCAGGCCCAGGGTCCCAAGACAGGCTTTGTAGGGGTCCAAAACAACTTGCAGACCTGTCTCCTCGCATATGTTCTGACGCGTTTCGGCCGTGGTCCGCGGGATTATACTGTTCATCCGCCTTTTCGCCTTCATTTCCGACGCCTCGCGTATTTCCGCCAGCCAAGGCAAAAGCAATCGCCAGGCGAGTTGCCTCGATCAGCATGTGTAGCAGCACGCGGCGCCGCAGCGAACCGGATGCGTTTTCATTGGTTTTGTACGGGAGGAGGAAGAGGAGGTGGAGGAAGCGAAGGAACAAATATGGTGGCGAAGGACCCGTAGTAACGAAAGAAGAGGAACAGCAAAAGGATGGGCGCGTGCTGGAGGAAACAGCAACATGCTAGAGCATGAGAAGGTCGGAAGGATGACGAGGGACCTGAGGGGGGGGGGGGGGGTACGAGGGGCCAAGGGGGAGGTAGCGAACGCATTGGTGATCCGCGCAGAACACCAGTGCGCCGCATCCTTTCGTACACGAGGATGTAGGAATGTGCCAGACGGGGAGGTGGGAGGAGCGCGGGGGAGGTAGGAGGACATGGGGGTAAGAACACTCAGGGCGAAGCAGTTCCAGAGACGGTGCCTCGGCAAATTGCGATGATCAGAAACGTGTGCCAGCATGGTGCTCAACCAAGAGGGCGACGCTGTTTACGTCAGAAACGTGAGGACGGCGCAGGGGGAATCGGAGGATTGACAGCAGCGGGGAAGGAGGACGAGGGGGGGGATGACGAGGAAACGGAGGAGGGGCGGGATGAGGACGAGGAGTAGGAAAAGGAAGGATGGGAGGGAAAAAGTCACGACGACGGCCAGAATCAATCATGGAGGATTTTGTTTGTTTTTTCGCACACGGCTCTTGTTAGAAGCCCCTTGGGGTGATTTGTGGGCCATTGTGGAGCTAAGTTGGAGCCATTTGGGAGAGCCTACGGGGCCCTCTTGAGGCCGTTTCGGGCCTCCTTGGGATCCTCTTCGGGGCATCGTGGGCCCGTCTTGGAGGCCTTGGGGGCCCTCTCGGGGCCATCTTGGAAACGCCGTCAGTCAAAGAGTACGGGGGGAGGGTCCTTGCTCTCTGGTGCCGCCCACGTCGCCTCTTGGCGCTCTCTTGGGGCGTCCTTCGGCTGCTCTTGCGCGCGCTCGGCGCCGTCTTGCGGCCTGTCGGGTTCTTCTGGAGGGCCATCTCAGGCCAGCGCGGCCATCTTGAGGCCTCAAGAGCCAATGGAAAACGAAAAGGCGACGAGACATAACACATAGCACACAATGGTTTTCATTTTTTTGTCTTGGAGGCCTCCTTGGAGAGCTCGAAGGGCACGCGGGGCCGTCTCGAAGCGGTCTTGACGACTCTCAGGGGCATGTTGGAGGCTATTCGGAATCGCCCTGGGATGCATTGAGCGATATTGGAGGCGTATCTGGGCTCCTTGCAGCCATCTCGGATACATTTTGGGCCGTATTGGGCGCTCCAACGACCCGCGGCTACCTTCCCGCGCGCGAAGGATTGGGCGGGGAAATGGGGAACCGTGTCCATGAAGGGGAAGAGTGGGCTTGGATGAATTACTTCGTCACGCCGCTCACGCTTAAAGGGGTGCTGGGATTCCTGTCTCCCTCCGGCCCTCTCCTGCGGCGTGCCCCCCCACTCCCTGTGACTTTCCCCCCCCCCCCCCCCCCTCCTTCCAGGCCCCGCGCGCGGCCTAGTGAAAACTTCGGGGAGAAGAACAGAAACTCGCTTTGAATACCTCTCCGAACTCTTAGTGGATTTTTCCTCGGGCGCGCGCATCGAAAAAACACGCGCGGAAAAATCCGGAGGGCACCCGGAAAAAATCACGCGGCTTCCGGGGCAAATTCACATTGGGATTTGGAAAAATCCGGGCAGAATTCACTCGAGAATCCGGGGTAGTATTCCCGGGCGGCCGTGGAAAAATCCCACCAGCCATGCAGGGCGTGGGCGGTGGTTTAACGGGCTAGCTTATCCGCGCGTTTCTCCCTGGCAGGGGCGGGGATCCCCCCCCTGCCCTCTCGCCCCCGGGCGTGGGCAGAGAGTGGCCGCGGGGCGGTGGAGCGCCCGAAATGGCCGAATATGGCCCCAAAGGAACCGCACGCAACCCAGGAAGGATTCCGAGATCGCGCCATATACTTGCAGATGGTACAATTTTGCTTCCAATGTGCCTCCAAGCCCCC